GGGAGGGGTAATTCTTGGACTCGGAAAAAAATCTGAATTTTTTTCCTTTTGGCCATGCCACGCAACATGCGGGATCTTAGTTCCCCAACCAGGGATTGAACCCGGGCTCCCTGCATTGGAAGCGCAGAGTCTTAACCACTGGACTGCCAGGGAAGTCCCCAGAATTTGAATCCTTAAGGCCTATTCTAGACTCGAATACTTTGCTAGCTATTTCCAAGTAGGCATTCAATCATCACCTGCAAACCAACTTGTGCAAAATTATATTCATATTAAAATGACAGAATTCGAGAAAAGTGTACCTTAGAAGTATCTAATTTAGGTTATTAATTTTACAGATGAGTAATTTTACAGATGAGTAATTAGTAAGAGACTTGCCCAATGCTACAGATAAAACAGTTAAGCTGGGACCAATGTCCAGGATTAGGGGTTGGCAAAGTACAACCTGTAACTTGTTTTTATACGGCCCATAGCTTAATTTTGCAAAAATGAACAAAGAAGAATATCCAATAGTGACTGTGTGTAGCCCACAAAGCCTAAAATATTTACTATTTAGCCCTTTACAGAAAAAGTTTGCTGACCCCTGGTCTAGATCAACTTTTTACTCCAATTACTTCTTTTCACAAAAAGTAGCAATTCTCTTGGTTTTCCTTTACTGGTACCACCAATGTCTTGATCATCTAGGTTCTGTATCTCATAGACTAAATGAATCCTTTTCAACTTTCCAGAGCAAATGAGACATCTGGCCAGTTGATGCCTCCTTCGAAATCTCTCTTGCATCTATCTCTTTTGTGCCAGTTAAACTGCTCTACTCATACTCCCTAGAACAAAGGTTTACCTAACAGAAATGACTTTCTCCTCTCCCTTCTTACTATCTTAAGTCAGGGGTCAGCAAAGGACCTGAAGATAAATATTCTAGGCCTAGTAGGTCATAAAGTCTCCCCTGGGAATACTCAATCTTACTGTAGAGAGGAAAGGCAGCCATAGACAATATGTAAATAAGGGGGGGGGCGGCGTGTTCTAATAAAAACTTATTTTTATGAAAACAATCACTGGGCCAATCTGCAGGACACAGTCTGGCAACCCCTGATCTAAGCCATACAATGCATTTAAACCCTAGCTCAAGTCCTCTCTGCTACTGAACACTCTGAAGGCTATTTCAGGTCATAGGGACCTCTCCCTGCTCAGAACTCAATTAATTTACTATCTGGCCAATGAACAATATCCATATATGACTTTGTGGAGTCTCTTGTACTGTTGTAACATATAGCTTAACTCTTTTAATTGTGACTGTTTAGCCTCTCTGGGACTCACTCACTGACCTAAACTTGAGGACCCAGTTTAAATAATCTATGACTTAACTTTTCACATGACATTTGTAAGTTTATAAGGAGTCTAAGGTTAGGGACAGTGTGTTACATACTTCTGCACTGTGCATGACCCTAAAAAAGTACCTCATATCCATGGGGGGCTCAATCAATACTTGTGAAGACTGACAAACTTACCTGCAAATTTTTGAAGCAGCAGGGCCAGTGACTACGCCATAATAGTTAAAAGGGACAGGAGCTGTGGCTTTTAATGGGTTCCTATGAAACCAATGTGTCATTCTCTCCAGGTGTTTCCTACTGACAAAAAACAAATGTATAAAAATTAAACGTAAAACAATAAGCAGTGTAAATCATATTAAAATATTTTTTAAAGTAAAAGTTGAAAATTACTACAGGATATATACATTCTAATATAAAACATATATAAAACAGACATATACATAAAATGCTTCACTGCCATACATCAATCTCGTTTTAACTGTTTATAGCAGCCTATGCTTAGATCAGGCCTATTAAAAAAACAGCATTTGTAAATGTGCTCACAGTAACTGCAATGCTGAAGATACTGGAGCAGTAATGTTTAAACTTTAATGTGTATAAAAATCACGTCGGGGCAGGAGGTGGGGGCTTCTTGTTAAAATGCAAGTTCTAATTCAACAGTCTGGGGTAGGATCTGAGACGCTGATGCTGCTGGTCCCCAAACTACACTTTTGAGGAGCGGAGTACTTGACTTTGGTTGGAAAGCTGCAAATGAGAAGGGCACAGGAGCAGAGGAACGTGATTCCGAAAGAGGTTTAAATGGTGACCCTTATTTAGACTGCTAAGATTACTTGACAGAAATAGGTTTTAAATTAACTGTATCTCCCACATGATATTGCTGATGCCAACTGATTGGCTGTAGCATGTGTTCTATAATAAATATACTTTCCACAGAATAGCTAATAAGAATCAATATTTTCATGATAAAAAACCCCACATGATACTTGATCAATAAAATCTATCCTTAAAATGGTAAAAAAAATGGCTGAATTATGAACATATTTAGCATGTGTAACTGAAGAAACCTCAGGTAGAGTTGCAGTTGGGACAGGCCTGTAGGGGGGGCTCTCAGGTCCCGCTAGGAGACCTCAGTTAACAGGAGAGAAGTAAACCTACATCTCTGACAGGAAGGTACCTCTAGGTTACTATCAGAAGGAAGAAGAAAACTTCTCTCCACCCATGGCAGCTCAGCGAGTCAGACTGTAGCAGGCCAACCAATGAGAAGCCTCCATACTCTGGACTCCCAGGTTCCTCCAATGGACTCTCTGGTTATTACAGCCCCTACCCAACTCTCTTTTCCCTATAAAAGCATGCTCCCCTTGCTTGTTCTCTGTATTTGCTTATGGTCACCCATCTTTGCATATCGCTGATTGTGATTTCTCTTCTAGTCCCTAATAAACTCGGTTTAGTTGGTTAAAAAAAATAATAATAACATCTATCCTTAGAACATACTTGTGGTTGACAAGGGGGAGGGCAGGTAGGGGAGGGAAGGACTGGGAGTTTGGGATTAGCAGATGCAAACTAGTATATACAGGATGGATAAACAACAGAATCCTACTGTATAGCACTGGGAACTATATTCAATATCCTGTGACAAACCATAATGAAAAAGAATATGAAAAAGAATGTATATATGCATAACTGAGTCACTTTACTGTACAGGAGAAATTAAACACTGTAAATCAACTATACTTCAATAAATTAAAAAGAAAATAATGTCTATCCTTAAAACCCAAAACATTTAAAAAACTACCTAAGTGAAATGCCAACTTAAAAAAATTAAGTTCCACACCTTTCAGGTTAAAAAAGAAAAGAAAAAAGGAGTGTGTCACTTGCTTAAAAGTCCTTGGGAAGATACCGAAGATAATACAGGAAGGTGTAGTTGAAGACTTAAATATAGCAATTAGATTTCGGGAAGTGGAAGACAAAATCGGTAAGATTTAATTAATTTGAAAGCATTATATACAATGTTGTCCATGGATTTTTCTTATCGGGGAAAAGAACGTGGGCTGCACAGTGTAAAAAATATCTACTTTATGCACCTCCCTTACCATATTTACTTATGGCAAAACCGGCTTTGGAGAGCACCAGCTATTTAAGGATGAGGAAACGCACTGTGTATTCAATGAAAGATTGAGCAAGTTCATTTGAGTAACTCAAAACATTTAACAAGTCCTTCAAAAATATATAACCTTCTAAATATCATCCACGTAAATCTCCTTTATAACCTAAGTAAACTAATACTGCATCTCTGTGCATATAAACCAAGCCTCCCAGAGCTAATGGCACACAATACACTTGACCGTGACAAATTTTCCACAAATACTCTTTTAAGGCGGCCTCCCACGTCCTGGATGAAAATGTCTTAAGTTCTGCATATCTTTACTTCAGGACCGAAGACGGTAAGTACCGTGTTCTCTACCCCTTCCTACCCAATCTGTCCGGTCAGAGACCCGCACTCCAGTTTCCAAGCATTCGAAGGGCGGGGTAAAAGGACGACACACCCACCTGCAGGTGCAAGGAAGGGTGCCGTTGACGCCACCAGCACAACAGTCGGATCGAGGCTGCCACCTAAGCCGAGGCCACAGGAAGAGTCCGATTACCGACAACGGTTCCCCACTCCGGAGACCCTGGGTCCCGCGACGAACCTACCGCCCCCGAGCTCCCAACGTCCACTTCCTGTTTACCACCCAGCCTCTTCCTCCCGGGCCCCGTCCGGTTTAACGCCGTTAAGACCTTGCGCAGGCGCACACCTTAGCGTGCCCCTCCTGAACAGGCATTTTCGTGGAAAGCCGATACTATCTACCCGGGAGAGGCAGGCAGAAGGTGCCTAAACAAACTCCTATGTAGCCATAAGACCCTCCCCCCGCCCCCAACCGCTAGTGGAGACGCGGGCAAGGCGATTCAGTGAATATAGCTGTTAATACCATTGATTCGTGGGGCTAATGTGAATTTCTTTCTCTCGTTTGTTCCAAGGCACTTTTTACACAGGTTCCATAGACTCCCGGATAGTGGTCCCCCCAAATCTCCTTCTAGTGCCTTGAAACACGTGAAGGAGACTTTTGAGGACCACTATCCGGGAGTCTATGGAACCTGTGTAAAAACCTTGACCCTATTGCTTGGGACTCCGGGGAGACAACAGGGGTAGGGATAGTACTGGGAAACGCCCATCCTCATGACATACTTACCGGATTTCTCGATGTCTGTACAGCACCCCTCCAGAGGGAAGAAAGGCAGTGTCCGAGTCCGCAAACGAGAAAGGGAGGGAGTCGCAGAGCCCGGATTACCGAACTTGAGCGACGGAAACCAGGCCTGCGGGAGCCGATCACGTGGTCAGGGCGGCCATGACAGCTACCGAGGCGGCAGTGCGCGCCGCTCTTGGGTTGACGCTGCCGCGTTGTCGCAGTCCCCTTAAAACACTCCGTTCCTCAGCCTTTTCTTAGATATTCCTCCACAGTCTTCCCTCTTGAGCTACGGTCTCCTCCAGAGACAAAAAGCAGAGATGGCCGGGCCTCCCACCCCGAGGAAGAATGCCGCAATAACAATGGCGGCCGCTCGGTGGAGCGGGGCGGCCTCAACCTAACACGAGGCGGGGCCTCGGGGGCGGAGCCTCGGCGGGGCGGCCGCTTCAGAGCCGCAAAGTTTGGCTGTGGCGGCAAATGGGCTTGGGCGGCTCCTTGGCGGGTGGTGGCGGTGGCCGTAGCGGTTCCTCTTGGCCCTGTTAATGTCGGGGCCAGGCCCGGGGAGGATGGCGCCCTAGAGCCCGGCCTTGCTGGGGTAGGGGCGGGAGGGGACGGGGTGGGGACCGGCCATGTCGGAGGTGACCCGAAGTCTGCTGCAGCGCTGGGGCGCCAGTTTTAGGAGAGGCGCCGATTTCGACTCTTGGGGCCAGCTGGTGGAGGCGATAGACGAGTATCAGATGTGAGTGACTAACCGCGGGAGCGGGCCAGACCGGCTCCAGTCGGCCGCCTCCCGCTTCTTTCTGTCGGTGTCTCTCATCACTGTATCTGCAGCCAAGGCTTCTCAGGGTGGGGCCCCGCAGGCGCTGGGGCTGAGATCCCACTGGCCCTGGAGACCAAGGTCCAGTCTCTGGGGTTTTTCGCTCTCCGCCTGAGCAGGGCCAGTTCCGTGCAACAGGTAGCCCTTCTTTCCTGGGGCGCCAGCCCATTCAGGCTACCTACTGAGTTCCTGGCCACCGTCTCATGGGTCCCCCGCTCTGCAGTCAGTTTCCTTTTCCCCTCTCCTCCGCCTCTCTCAGGTTGCCGCCCCTCAGTTTCTCTTTTAGAATCTCGGAGGAATACTTGTGTGTTCTCCGCCCACGTCCCCGGGATGAGGGGCCTCGCTCTGTGTACGGTGCCTTCCTCCTCCCCTGTGTAGGGCAGGAGGGAACTGGTGGCGATTAAGGGGAGGGGAGGGGGTGCCCCCAGGAGGCAGCGAGGCCGGAGGTATCTCCTCAGCCCAAAGAAAGGTCTCCTCTCGCGCCCCCTCTCCACCCCTCTTTCTGGGGAGCCGTGTTTTCCCAATTCACCTCGATTCCGTTTCGGTTTCTGGGACTGTTATTTGCTAGGCTGGGTGAGTCCCACCCACCCCCTCGCTCGGTTGCTCTGGGTGGAGTCCCTGCAGGATGTGAACAGAAGAGAGCAAAATGTGAATTAATAGACCACGCACAGGAGTCACCACCGCCTCCTTGGGTCCCTCCTCCTTTTCCTGTGTATAATGTATAGCCGCAGGGTACATGTGAGCACCAGGTTCTTTGATCTACCCAAGTCCGATTTCTTTCCCTTTATGGTTTCCTCCCAGAACTTCAGCGGTGTTTTTAAAATTAAAAGGCAAGGTTTGCGTATATATTAAACCTTGCTTATAGTTTCTTGCACATTTTACTGAAAATAGGAACTGCCTGCAGAAATGCTGTTGTTTGCAAACTGTTGTCAGTAATTACTTATTGGTTTAAAGCAAGTTATTGTTCGAAACCATGTGTAAGTAAAATCCACCCCCCCTCCCCCCGCCCCAGCGTCTTTTGGAAAGAATACACGATTAGTGCTTGGAAGATCTAAATCCTGTATTCTTTTTCTACAATAGTTACTTGTGTTTATCTGGCCATTAAGATAATTTAAATGCGTGGATGTTCTCTATCTCATCTTACTGACTTTGAATTGCCTGTAGTTTTCAGAAGCCCTGAAAACCACCATGGTTTGGGCCATTTTGCCATGTGTAACAACTACTGTCACTTGTTTTGCACTTTCACTTGATTTCACTTTACTCTTGCAACTGCTCGGTGAGAATATTATTATTTTCATTTTGCAAATGAGGAAACTTAAGCTCAGGCTAGGGTCACAAAACTATACTGCTGAAGTCTGGGTTGTTTTTTTGTTTTTTGTTTTTCCCAGTTCCAAATCCTGTCTGCTCTACTATGTAGTGTTTAAGGCATTATTAAAGATGCGTTGTATAAGTGAATTGGACAAATTAGAAGACTTCCTTCATTCCCAGAGAATGTATCCTTCATACTGTAGCCGGTTAGATAGTGAGCACCCATGTATACTCATTCTGCATTAACTAAAGTTGCATAGCCTGAAATCTAAAGCTGCCTCTCACTTGTGATGGTGGGACATCGCAGCTGTTGGCACTCAGCAGCAGACCTCACAATGGAAAGTGAAGAATACCATGTCCAATTGAAATTACAAAGGAAAATTGAATATGCAAGCTGTTTAGCTGGAATTTCTAAAAATATCTCAGCAAGAGAGTAATAAGCACCAACAAATCTATTGTTGAACCTCATTACTAACCTTGAACTTCATGATTCAGAGTAATTCTAAAATTACTATAAAAACCACCAGTGTCAAATTTGAATAGAAATATGTGATGATTGGCTTAAATTTTGTAAACATACAGGCTACATACACGATGTTGAATTTAAAATTAATACACTCAGAAATGAAGGCCAGTTGTCTTTTTTTAATTTGAATTATCTGTGAGAAAAGGAGACCATTTGGGGGCCACTAAATGATGTGAAAAAGAATGGATGGGATTTAGTAACTGACTAGATACTGAGCGAGAAGAAGGAGAAGTCTGGGAGAACTGGCCTTTCTGACCGCAGAGGCAGCTGTGTCTTTACAGCTGTGCAACACACAGGAGTGAATTCATGGGATGGGGACTTTGTGGGGGAGGGAGTGGATGTGTTTGTACTTATCTTAAGGTAGGAATATCACAGCTTAAACAGTTTCATCACTCAGCAAGTGAGAGCTGGGCGTATAGAAATGAATAAGATTTGATATCCATCCTCGAAGTATTGAGTCTAATGGAGGATTTTATTTATTTATTTATTTATTTTTCATTGTGAGAAATGCTGGAGGATTTTAGAATAAATGGGTATTGCTATTACAGAAGTAGGAAAAGAGTAAGTGCTGCCACACTCCTTGCTGTTTCCTGAAGCATGCTTCTGCCTTAGGGCTTTTGTACTTTTTCTGGAACACTCTTCCCCCATTATCTGCTTGGACCGATTGATCACCTCCTTCAGGTCTTTGTCCAAATATTATCACTGCGAGGCCCTCTTTGTCCAGTTAAGTATGCTGTCCACTCCCACTCCCTCTACCTCAGTCTTGCAGATCCAACCCCCAATCCTGCTTAATTTTTTCTATAGTATTTATCACCACCTAAAGTACAATATATTTCATGTATTCATTTGGTTGGTTGTCTCTCTCCCCACTTGAATGTAAGGTCTTTGAAAATAGGGTATAGGAGGGGTTGTCTATTTTGTTCTCTACTGTATACGTAGTGTCCAGAGTAGCACTAGACTGTTATCAAGTAATTATTTATTTAGATATTATATAATTGTTGTATTCTAGTGAATGGCTTGATTCAGGAATATGCTGTGGGAGCATTAAGGAGTTGATGCCACAGTCCTGTTGGAAGATTTCAGCAAATTATGTCAAAACTAAAATTGCTATCTAAAATATACATGATCAATTAAAAACAACTCCCTATAGCAGGCCACCTCTTTCAGCAACCTGGGGGTACCTGCACCCTAACTTAGGGTAGAGTGGCATGGACTCTGCTGCCTAGAATCAGCTATTTCACAGGATCAGTCCTGAGGCATTAATCCGGCACACAGATGCTCAATAAGTATTTGTTAAATGAATGGGTGAGTTTGAAGATTGGATAAGCCTTGTTAATCATCCTTATTATGCCTTGTGTCAGTACCTCTCAAGGTGTGGTCCCACGTCCTTGCTGGTCTGCAACGAGATAAATAAAGAAATGGGGATTTAAAATTTAGGAATTTCATTGTGGTGTGACATCTTAATGATAGTATTTATTTTATTTTATAAAAGTATTAGCCTGGAACAGATTGCGGGGGGAAAAAACTAGTTCTTCACTCTAAATAGTTTGAGAAGCACTTGTTTCTGTCATGGATTGCTGTGGGGTTTCTGTGGGTCACTTGTTTATGTGCTTTAAGGATATTTAAAACTTCCCCTTGAGAGCAGTCCTATATTACCTGTAGGCACCCTTGGAAACTGAGGTTATTCTCTAGAGAAAAATATTTGATAGGTTTTTTACCTTTACTAATAGAATGTCAACTCTTACCTGCTCATCTGATACCCAGAGCAGGTGGATTTTCCCTCAGTGGACAGATTTATGTCTCACTTTGTCTTAAAATGGTGCAATCATTTATGGGCTTAAAAAATTAAAATTTTTTAAAAATTAATTTTATTTATTCATTGATTTTTGGCTGAGTTGGGTCTTCGTTGCTGTGCCCGGGCTTTCTCTAGTTGCGGCGAGTGGGGGCTACTCTTCGTTGCGGTGCGCGGGCTTCTCATTGCAGTGGCTTCTCTTGTTGAGGAGCACGGGCTCTCGGCACGCGGGCTGAAGCGTAGTTGTGGCACGCGGGCTCAGTAGTTGTGGCTTGCGGGCTCTAGAGTGCAGGCTCCGTAGTTGTGACGCACGGGCTTAGTTGCTCCGCGGCATGTGGGATCTTCCTGGACCAGGGCTCGAACCCGTGTCCCCTGCACTGGCAGGTGGATTCTTAACCACTGTGCCACCAAGGAAGCCCTAGAAAATTAATTTTTTTGCCTAGGTTTTACAAAAAGTTTTTAAAAATAACTATTGAGGTATAATTTATATACAGTGAAATTCAGCATCTTACGTTTACAATTCAGTGAACTTTTAGTAAATTTACCAAGTTGTGCAGCCATCATTACAATCAAACTTTAGAACATTTCCATCACCCCACAAAGATCGCTTATGCACATTTGCAGTCATTCCATGTTCCCACCCTAACCCCAGGCAGCCGTTAATCTATATTCTGTCTCTAAAGATGAAATGAAACTTTTTCTGGACATTTCACGTAAATTGAATCATATGATATGTGATCTGTATGTGGCTTCTTTCATTTAGCATAATGTGTTTGAAGTTATCCATGTTGTTGTATGTATCAGTACCTTGTTCCTTGTTACTGCTGAGTAGTATTGCATTGTATGGGTATACCACATTTTGTGTATCCATTCACTACTTGGTAGACATTTGAGTTGTTTCTACTTTTTGACTGTTATCATTAACGCTGCTGTGAACATTCACGTGTAAGCCTGGGTGCACGTATATTTTCATTCTTCTTGGGTAGAGATGTAGGAGTGGAATTGCTGGCTCATATGGTAAATTTATGTGTAATTTTTAAAGGGAAACTGGTTGGTCAAACTGGGTGCATGATTTTACATTTCTACCAACGATATATGACAGTTCCTGTTTCTCTACATTGATAGCATTTGTTATTGTGTGTCTCTTTGATTATAGCCATTCTAGTGGGTATGTAGTGTACTTCACGGTGGTTTTCATTTGTTTTTCTCTTACGACTAGTAATACTGAGTGTCTTTTCTTATGATGCTTATTTTCCCTGTAAATCTTGTTTGTAAAGTGTCTCTTCATACCTTTTGCCTATTTTTAAATTGAGTTGTTTGTCTTTTCCCTATTGAATTAGAAGAGTTCTTTGTATTTTCTGGATATCAGTTCTTCATCAGATAGGATATATGATTTGCAAATATTTCCTCCAGCCTGTTGCCTAATTTTTAAAAACAGGATTCTGTTTGAATTTAACATCATTGTCTACTGACTGCTAGCATTTGAGCAGGAGTTTAGAGCTATATCCTTTCTTCTGACAGTGACCTACTTAGGTTTACAGTCACTATTGGCATATTGTGTGTAGAACTTGTCAAATAAAGAAACTGTGCAACACTGTAACTTCCCTGAATTCAGGGATGTGTAGTTGACATTGTTAAGTGTAGACTGTGATTCCTGAAGAGAACTCTACGTAGATGGTAGGCCAGCAAGAGTTAGAAAGGAAACCAAGTACGGGACAAGTATGGCTATGGCTATTTCTAATTGTACTTACTCCTGTATAAAATCCACAGAGTGGGTCTATGAATGACATTTTAGGACAAATATTCTGGGGTTTCCAGTTTTGGGGGAAAAGAAATAAATGGATGGAAGCACTTTGATTAAGTAACATGGTGGAGCTATCCTGGCAAACGTTATGATTTTATGCAGGAGTTTCTTGTGTTATGATAAGGAGGATGCAGACCTTTCATAGATTAGATAGAGGTCATCAAGTGAACTTTACTCTTGATCTTTAAAGACATGATTGTATAGATTAGAACTTCCATCTAAGGCTTTTTGGAAACTTGGTGAACTGTCTTTTGCAACGGCTTGGTGGGAAATCTAGCACTTGCTACCCTTTGTATCCCTGCCTCTTTTCCCCACCTAGGATAGTATAGTATGCTTGGGAATTATAGTTTAAAATTCTTTTGTAGTTACAAAATGTCTCACAAAAAAATCCTTTCGATTCTTTGTTTTCTTTTTCCCCCCTGCAAGTTTTTAAAAATTAAAATAAATATCACGTAACATGAAACTTATCACTGTAAAGGTGTACAATTTGTTAGTTTTTAGTATGTTCACAATGTTATACCACCATCACCACTATCTAATTCCAGAACATTTCCATCACTCTCAAAAGAAACCCTTTACCTGATATGGGTCACTTCCAATTCTCTCATTTCCCCAGCCCCTGGCAACCACTAATCTGCCTTCTATCTCTATGGCTTTACCTATTCTGGATATTTCATGTAAATGGAATCATATAATATATGATCTTTTATATGGCTTCTTTCATTTAGCATAATGTCTTTGAGGTTCATTCATATTGTAGCATGTATCAGTATTTCATTCCTCTTTATGGCCAAATAACATTCCTTTGAATGTGTGCGCCACATTTTGTTTATCCGTTCATCAGTTAATGGACATTTTAGGTATTTCCAGTTTTTGGCTAATCACGCATAATGCTGCTCCTGTGATCATTCGTGTACAGTTTTTGTGTGTGTGAGTGTGAACATGTTTTCTGTTCTCTTGGGAATATACCTAGGATTTTGAAACTGCTGGGTTATATGGTAACTCTATGCTTAACTTTTTTTTTTTTTTTTTTTCGGTACGCGGGCCTCTCGCTGTTGTGGCCTCTCCCGTTCTGGAGCACAGGCTCCGGACGCGCAGGCTCAGTGGCCATGGCTCAGGGGCCTAGCCGCTCCGCGGCATGTGGGATCTTCCCGGATCGGGCACGAACCCGTGTCCCCTGCATCGGCAGGTGGACTCTCAACCACTGCGCCATCAGGGAAGCCCCCTGTGCTTAACTTTTTAAGGAACTGCCAAACTGTTTTCCACAGTGACTGTACCATTTTACATTCCTACCATCAGTTCCAGTGGTAGGGTTCCAATTTCCACATCCTTGCCAATACCCATTGTACTTTTTCTCCCTCTTTTTAAAAATTATACCCATCCTGGTGGGTGTGAAGTTGTATGTCATCGTGGTTTTAATTTGTATGTCCCTAATAACTAATGAGATGATATTCATGTACTTATTGGCCATTTTTATATATTCTTTGGAGAAATGTCTGTTCAATCAAACCTTTTACTCATTTTTAAATTGAGTTATTTTTCTTTTTATTGTTTAGCTGTAAGAGTTGAGCTTAGACTTGTAACACAGATCCATCCTTGAAAACTCATCCGAGGCCTAGCTGCTGTTTTTAAGGATGATGATAACTGAGCAAACAGTGATTTCCATGTCTGATTGGTAGAGGATTTTCTTTATTTGCCATGAAAAATACGTTCAAAAGTATAATTTGATAGAGTATCATCACTTTGTCATGGCTGTAATTTGAACTAATCTTATCAGCAAATTAATGATAGACTGATAAAGTACCTCTGGCTGGTACTATTAATTGGTGCTCACTGAAAGTGTTTAAGCTGAATCTGGACAACTGCTCTTGGCTTGTTGTAGAAAAAATTCGTGTGTACTAAGGAAAGTTGAATTCGATGTCATTTGAGATTCTTTCCACCTCTATGATTCTGTTTTTGCTGTCTCGAGCTGAAATTTGTCCCAGTGAAATGGTATGAAAAGTATCTTATTTCCATTGTCATTGTATAAAGAGTTAGATTCTAAAGATAATGTAGATTTATACTTTGAAAACAGAAGAAAAGTGTTATTGTACTTCACTCTTTTTTAAGAATTAAATTATTTTACCATGTTTCACTTGAAATAGTTTGCTTTCCTTCAATTTTAAAGAATGTTTTTTTCTTCTTACAGATTAGCAAGACACCTACAAAAAGAGGCCCAAGCTCAACACAATAATT